TGATTTTAGGCAGCTGATTTTAATGTTGTAGCTGATCAGTGTAGAAGTAAAACAATGTTTACAACATAATAATTACTTTATAATATAATAAGTGTAATACTATTATTATTGTTACCATATATAATATTAGGATTCCTCTTTTAATTTACTGGTTTCTTTTGCTATGTTGATACTACGTTATTATTATTATTTTACAATGTAGGTTTTGTAGTGTTGGTATGCACTACACACTCTTTGTCATTTAACAGTATGTATAGCTCTTGTCCAATTAAAATGCAATATTCTCTTTTACCAAATACAAGTGTCTTTGGCTTATGTAAGAAATAATAATATTACGTAATAATATTATACAATTAATATCTACATAATCATCATCAACAACAACAACAACAACAACAGTAGTAGTAGTAATAGTAGTAACTGCATGAATATTTATATCTGGTGCATTAGGTAGGTAGTTTAAGACATTTTTAAACGAGATATAGATTTTTAAAAATGTACTGTAAAGGAATATCAATGTGTGTGTGTTTTTAATATATTGGAATTATCTCAGTATGACAATGTTTTGGTTAGTTTATAATGTCACACATTTCTCCTAATGTAACATTTTTTACATTATTACCTCAAGATTTTATTATTTTGAGAAAATTATTACATCCGTAACATTTTATTACATTAATAATGTACTACTTTTTACTTTATTTGTAGTTATTATATTATGCTTTATTATAACATTATGATCTGCTACACAGACCTACAACACACTCAATATACAGAGTAAAGAATATTAAAATGTTAGTGGACAAAACACACACACACACACACACACCAGAGGGCACTCCTCCCTGCCATTCTATTTCTGTCATAAGCACTACTCTGATACTCTGAGGCATGTACAATAAAGATCCAAATGAAGCTTCATTAGAGGGTAATCCAGAATAGAATGGCAATGGAGTAGGGAGGAGTGCTCTCTGGTGGATGTCCAGGACACTCCAGCTGGTGATCGTGATGTAAGGGCACTTTGATGTATTATAGAAATATAACCCTTTGACAACAAACTCCCAAGCATCTTATTATTAGAGACTACTAATGTGTATCATCAGCAAATCAGACGCAATTCTAAAATAAACTTTAAACTGTAAAAATTAGATTTGTCTGGGATTTTTTTCGCATCTCTTTGGTCTCTAAAAATTAAACAGCCACTTAATAAAATGTGATTTAAAAAAAAAAATAATTTAATTGATGAAAAAATGTAATTACTTCCTTTCTTTGACTGCTTAATTTCCTTCAAAATAATTTAAGTGACTGAATCAGTTAATATGAATGTAAACCTGTGTCAGACAGACAGTTTCTACAGTGTTTGTGTGCTGACTATCACGAGAGTGAACACTTAATCTACAGCTCCAGTAAAGTCAGGTGCTGTTGTGTCCTGTATATTACATTACATCAGTAGCCACATTTACATGCACTTTACATGTTTGATTTCAGTCGGACTAAACTATTATTCATCTTTTTAAATGTCAGGCAAATGTCAAAATGAAATTGCACCAGTCCGATAATCAGACCTATATAATACGATTATAGTTTTTCTTTGTTCTGCTTGTACGTCCTGCAAGAAAGAGGTAATGTGCTATACTATATTTAAAACTGCAAACATTTGATCATATATTGTGTGAAATATACTTGGACAGAGAAACAAAGATTGTAGCTTGCCTATGCACTGTAGCTTCATCATAACTGCACATGTAATCAAATTGTGTGCTGAATAAAGCTGCTACAATAGAAACATATGATCACAATCACTCTCACAGCAGAAAAAACGACTGAATGAGGGTGACAGCAGGATTTCAACAACAGATAACAATATTGCTGTTGAAAAAACTACACGTCAGTTTAGTGTTTTTTGTGATTATATGCAATTCAATTCTGGTTCATGTTCACAAACATATTGTTTAATAAAAAAATTAATAAATAAAAAGTTAAATACATTAAATTTATTGTGAGCACTGGATAAAATAAGCATGGGTGGTCTTTTTCCTATAAGAGTCTCACCTCAGCTGTGAGATGTAGGGCAGACACTGCAGGAATCCCTTCACTTCACTCTCTTCATCTGTGCAGTCTATCAGCTCTACTGGTTTCTTCTCTGTTTGGAGTTTCAGCACTTCTAGGAGGATGGAGCTCTTTCTCTCTGAGAGCTTTATTCTCCAGACTGCAGGAGCTGACTGATAAATTGGCTGTAATGCTGGAAGGACACTCCTGCCTGTTTGAGTCTCATAGTCCTTCACATGTGAACACAGATCCAGCAGAAAATCACATCTCTCATAATCCACAGATGATAGCAGTTTCTTCACAGTTTCTTCTATTGTCTCTTTCTGATGGAGCGCAGCTTGCAGACACAAATCCAGTATCAATAATCTCTTTTTTTTGTCCCATGATCCAGCTGTTTTATTGTGTGGTACAGCAAATCTAAAGAGTGAACAAGATTCTGTTAGAGATGTGTTAGTGTTATACATTTTATTGTGCAACAGTTGGGCCCCGGAAGTAAAGACAGATCAACCATGAACTAAATTAATTAAACTTAATTTCTGAAAATCAATTCTTAACAGGCAGTTTCTGGTGAAGAACTACAGTACTCATGACCCTGCAGACAAATATCCATGAATCACAGAATCACAAATTGGCTCCTCCCATAAAGCACTGAATGATGTAATGATTATGTCTCTTCCTACACTTGAAACTACTTGTATACATCAGTTTTTTTAATGACTTCAAACCACATCATTTGTATACTCAGAATCAGCAACCGAAAATCTTTTTCTTTTTTTTTTGTCTTCAATGCTTTGTAGGTTGGTAGTTAATTCCTTCATTAAAGACATTGTACACAGTTATTTTTCTTTTACCTTTGTCCTGCACTTTAAAAACACACTTGTCTTTTTGTGCGTTTTTAAATACATTTTTGTTTCAAATAAAAGTTTGTAATGTTGTGTTTCACCTTAGAGCTGGTTGGCTTTGGTTCATGGCTTAAAATTCTTTAACAATGTCTTTTTAATAATCCC